GAACCCGGCCGATCGGCCTTCGCGGAGACCATTACATCGGAAATGGGGAAAAAGACCACAAAAGTGATGGAAGGCAAAAGTCAACAGGAGCGCAAGAAAGTCCGAAGCAAATTAGGTTCACTCAAAGGGCTCACAGTTCAACCTCGCACAAGAGAACGATATACAGACTGCTTAAACCGCTTTTTTGACTGGTTGGCAGGGAGCGGCAAAACCTCCTCGATGGCCTGGTCAGTGACTACCTTGAACATTTGTGGGCCACAGGTGAGGGAAAATCGATTGCCAACAACACTCTGGCAGCTCTCCAAGACCGTGATCCGTCTCTTAAGCGAAAACTCCCTGCCAGTTGGCGGTTGTTGAAAGCTTGGACGTCGGTGGAGATCCCTAATCGGGCACCGCCATTCACCCTTCAGGTTCTGGATGCTCTCTGTGGGTGGTCAATTTTTAATGAATGCCCCGCCTTCTGTCTGTCGCTGCGTGTCGCGTTTTTCGGTTTGTTGCGTACAGGAGAACTCTTGAGCCTCCGGGCAAAGGATGTGTTCATCCCTGGACCAAAGGGACCGGCGGTGCTGTCTCTAGGCCTTACTAAGGGAGGAGCGCGCCAAGGAGCGGCCGAAAGCGTCACCTTACATGAGCAATCCATCCTCCCAGCTTTGTGGCGTTGGAAACAGTCCAATCCTCCAACAGCCTTTTTAACTCTCAAACCTCATGCTTGGCGAGCATTATTTGCTCGAGCCATTGATGCACTACACCTGACTGACCAGCATTTCAGACCTTACAGTTTAAGACGGAGTGGGGCGACGTTCCACTTTAACCACCACGGATCGTTCGACACCCTCCTTGTCCAGGGGCGGTGGGCAGCTGCCCGTACCGCCCGTATATATTTGAACGACGGTTTAGCACAGTTAGCAGATCTCTCTCTGTCGAATTCATCCCTTGTTCCTTACCTGAACTTGTATCGCAAGAGCCCAACCCTTGAGCCAGCAGTGCCTTTAAGGCCCTGCAGATCAGGGGGACGTGGAGCCAAGAAGAACGGCAAGCCGAAAGGTTGAGTTTTGCATTTT